TTTTACCGGATGAAGATTACAGGTAATAAAGTCATGGCAGGGACAGTAATTATGTGGATAGTAACTTTAACATCGGTATCGTTGATCACTGCGTATTTGAACCGAAGACGCTCAAGTCTGTATAAAGTTCCAGCCATGGTAGTCGGGGGTATCCTAAGTGTGGTCATTCTGTACTGTACAAGTAAAGTGCATCTCACAGCTTACCATCACAGAAGAACCATAAGCAATCAACATGCATCACTTCAACTTCCCAACGAAGAACAGCAGCTAAAGAAGCGACGTCAGGAGTACAAGCGAATGTTTATAATGACAATGTTCATAGTTTTGTCCGTTTTATTTTGCACTCCTTTTTTGGTAGTAACAGCCATAGGAGAATCGAAGGGTAAAGATTTTACGAGAGATTTTAAATATCTTTCTATGCCTATATGTGTGACCTTTCTGCATCTTCAATCTCTCGTTAACCCAATGATCATGTCACTACGTTTATCTTACATCCGTCAACGCATCAAAAACATTCTTTTTTGCCGAAACAAGTGGTGTTTTTTTCTACTCGAAGAAAACAGGGTCAAACAACAACAACAAAACAAAACTTGAGAAGGTACCATGACTATCGCGCACTACAGACATTTATTCTTAAAGTGGAAAAAACGAGCTCAAAGATTAAAGTGTGGAGTATCTGTGTAAAATGAAGTCCCTGCTGTTAACAATTTGTATTCGAGTCATACATAAACTTCGTAAGATACAATAATCAGTAAATAGAACGAGTAGACATTGCAATGTAATGTTTTAATTGTTCAATCCCAACAGACTTTACGAGATGCTACTAACCATCATTCATGGTCAACCAGCATTCAATGCGGTCGTCTTCCCAATTTTCCATATATGGAAAATGAGGTGACTGGTCGGTTGATCATGGCCTTTTTTAAATGAAATTTTGATGGCGATAATTCACATTGTTCGGTATAAAGGTCAAATATTAAAGTCTGCGAAAGTTGAAGAATACAATGCTCTATTTAAAAAAACATATAGCTAAAACGATTTCAAGGCTTTTAATACAGAACATATACCACATAGCGCGTCGATCCATGAAATAAGTTCTGTTTGTGGTAACAGTAGCTACAGTAATAATCCGCTTCTTAGAGCCTAAAATTTTCGATTTAGTTTACATAGGTCCTTGAACAACCTACAGATGAAAGGCACAGCCTGTACGCTTGAACGATAATCAAAAAAGCTCCCTTGAAATCATATTATTAAACATTAAAATGCTCTAAATACAGACGACTTATTTTAATAGTTCACTTGATTTTATACCAAGCTGCATCAGGACTTACAAAGTATATTTGTGCCAAATTTTGAAGAAATCTATTTCATAATTCTACCATCAAATTAGACGTTGATTAAAAATTGATATATTTCATATATAGAACGCAAGGAAGAACTACAAGAAAGTTGTGTTGTAGTCCGTATTCGACTTTATTTAATAGAGGAGGCTTCTTCGAAATTACATATTCATGAGAAGTTCGATGACTCTGAATAGCCGATTTGCATTATGGCGTCATTTACTACAACTACCAGAATGCTTTGCCAATTGTTTTATTAATCTCCAAGAGGATTAAAAATCTGAATAACATGAAAATGCGCAAGGCTCTCTGGTAGTTGTAGTAAAGTTACGACATAATGCAAATGGTGGGAACTAGTGGTTGTAGTGTGAGCTGCGTCGGTGTTTCTAAAGAAACAGTTGTGTAAAAAGATGAATTTAACACCGTAAAAAAAGTATGTGAAATAACTTACGTTTCGGACGTTAATACTTCGTCGGAATAAAAGTGATTAAACTAGGTAAAGGGTGAGTTTATATAGTAAGAGTAGGAAGGAAAATAGACCAATAGGAGCAAAGTAGGCATGGTAACATAAAATAAACAAAAAAGCAAAGGAAGTGTAAAAACAAAAGAACAATAAAGGTGCTAAAAAGGGAACAAAAGATAAACAACCTATCTGAAAACAAAGCGTAATAATGCAAATGGCCTATTTTACCGACTGTGTTAAGCTCCTCCCAYAGATTACGTCACTCTCATKAAATTACGGACCCKCATGTAATAAACTAACAGATCTTTTTTTAGAGCGAGTTTAGTGGCTGTGTCTAATAAAGTTAATTGTTACAAAACAAGACATGATCATAGAGATTTTTATAAACCTACTCTTTTTCGTGGCTGTTCATTGTAACACAGCAACAAGACATGATCATAGAGATTATTATAAACCTACTCTTTTTCGTGGCTGTTCATTGTAAC